CTTTTTTTCAGTCTGCAGGATCTCCCGCTATTTGACCAGCAAGAGAGATCTGGAATGGTTCTCGGCGTGTACTTTGATGCATTCGGTCAAATCCTTACCCTGGTCATGATTTGCCAATTCTTCATGGGTCCAAGTGCTAATTGGCTAAGATGGGCGGTCAGATCAGAGTTATATGGGGATGTATCACGTGGGGGTTCTTGCCTGTTTTATTGTGGTTTTGGTGGCATTTTATGTTCGGCTCTGTGCCCACGAGGCAATTTATTTAAACAAGGAGTAACCTAATTTTCTTCCAGAGACTGACGCCAGGGCAGGATCATGTATACTTTATATGGAGACCCCCCCCTGGTGGGTGGGGGTCTATGTATAAAAGAGTGTTGTATTACTGGTACATAATGGCTATATTGACTGAACAACATTTCTTCCAGCTAAGAGGGCATTCCAGGCCAGAAATAGCTCTGTTACATCTGGTGGCACCTGTGGGATGCTCCATCGCAGCGGAAGCAAGCAAAAAAGCAAGCCCTAGCCGCTGAGGAAAAGGAGCGGTGAATGGAGACAAACTATGCAGGGCTAAAAACAAACCACTCAAGGAGATCCTGAAAACCAGGTGCAAGATAGCCAGTAACAAACAAGGATAGAGAGAGGAAGAAAAGTAGTGAGAAGAAAAAACAAAACAAAAACCCAACCGTGTTGTTCCGCTGTTGGGGCGTGGCAATCCTGCTATGTTTACTCTATGCACAATAAAATATTGATTGACAAAAACAACAAACCAGCATCTCGTCAAAGACACCAACCCAATGGGAGAATTTTTAGTAGTTCAGGTTGAAAGGGGGAGCAGTTTTGCTTGCCCACCGCCAAGGTTCACATACACTGGTGCTCCAGATCAGCAATGGTGGAGGTTGGATTTATGCGGGTATTGCCCACACAAGTCTTGCTGGGGAATGACTTGGGGCAACTCAACTTCTGCCTTTGTTAACCATCCCACTCAGGAGAAGACTTATCCCATAACCACACGGGAACAGGTCCACACCGCAGACCACCACTCACATGCTAAAGTTCAGGTAAGATAGAATCCCTGCCCTTAGACTTCCTTGCCTGGGGTGGCCCTGCTGAGATTGGGAGGGAAGTAGCCACTGACCCCCATGCTGCAAATATACAGAGACCACATCATCTATAAATCAGCCTGGGTTAGAGGTACAACAGTACTCCTGGAATTAGGGATTGCTGTACTGGGAGGCGGAAAGGGTACAGCAATCCCTAATTCCAGGAGTACTGTTGTACTCCAGAAGAATAGACAAGAGCTGCTAAAGATGGCCCATGACATACCCCTGTCTGGGCATTTGGGCAGCTGTACTAAGTACCGGTCCATAATTGAGGAATCTTTTCGCCGGTGGGCAAACACTTACTAGGATCCTTAGCCAAGCCTAGTAGCTCTGGTAAAAAGTACATATTAACAGTTGTGTACTACGCAACCTTGTAACCATAGGCGGTGATGCTGACTAACATTCACGCTAAAACCATTGCGGAGGCCCTGATGCAAATCTTTTTCCAAATGATGTTTCCTGGGAGATTGCTGGGGACCAAGGCAGCCAGTTCAATGCGGAAGACACCGACCAACTCTGGAGATTCTGTGGTATTAATCCCATCCAGAGATCCCCTTTTCACCCTTAGACCAATGGCCTCTGCAAACGATTCAATGGGACATTAAAGCAAATGCTCAGAACGTTTATGGCCACGGGCAAGAATTGGGAGCAATTCCTAAGACACTTCGTTTTCGCTTACAGTGAGGTGTTGCAAGTGGGTTCTCCCCATTCAATATACTCTTCAGGCAAGTGGGCGATTTATTTTTTTTGTGCTCCCTCCCTCTGAGGTCTACCACTTTGTGAATGCGAGATTGTTGCTTCGTCGTCACAATAACTATAAAAGTTGACAAAGGCAGATTTAGTAGAGTGGACAACGAATGTATAAAAATGTGGCATTTCAACAGTACCACATTTAAGATCATTGGTAGTACGACATACGGCTCTTGAGAAAAGCTCAATGTGCTGTTGCCATTTGGACAGCTAAAACCTACACTCAGTAATAAGGTGCATCAAACATACATCTAGTCAGAGTGTATATTCAATATATAATTTAGAAAGCAGTTTCCACGCGGTCACCAGAATCTCACTTTATAAACCAGCAGGTGCATACAACTTAATGGACTCCGTTTTGATATGGTTTATTCGGTTTAAATTTTTCAAATCTCTGCACCAGTTAAATCAAGACAAAGCCTGGCTCCCAAGCTATTTAAACTCAAAATTCTATAGATCTCACTCAGTCATTGGCAACCTATCGTCCAAAGTGTCTGCAAGTTGGGTGTGACGTCAATATCTATTTAATGCAGGTTCGGTCTAACAGGGAATAGCATATTACAACTGGCTGATTTACAGACCGGGGGAAAGCCTTGAATACACACATCTTTATGATCCACATGTGTCAATGCTTTGTGGTCACGGTCAGGTCTGCCAACCAAGCAGTCCACACTGGGATATTTTGACATACACCATGCCATGTTCCTCATTATACCCTCAATAAAAAGGAGCAGTGCTTCTGACGCAAAGTTGAAACAAAGCAAGCATCCAGACCAGGTTTCATGTGCTAATAAAATTTGATATTAACCTCCAAAAACCTCTGAAGCTATGTATACCCCAAAGGACTAGTGAAGGTTATACTAAAAATAATGTGAAGGTACTGACAGATTCCCAAGTAACAGAGAAGCAGATTTATTCTGTAAACTCCAAGTTTTAGTCAATATCCAAGTTAAACATTCATCACAACTTTGCAATTTTGTTGTGGTCTTGCACATCCCAGAAGCCACATGAGATGCCATTCATTGTCTTAGAGCAGCAGCTGACCATGCCCAGCTCAATGACACTGCCAGAGCTGGAGCAACATGTCCAGCAGCAATGGCAGTAAACTCCATGTTTCTATCATTACATGCTGAAAATGTTGCACATAGACTCCAGACACAATGACCACTTCAAATCACTAAAGTAGGCATGGTGCTCAGAGTAACCCTATAAGGGAAGAAGCTAAATTTGTACCAATGGGGGATTGATCTAGGTTTCATTCCTTTTTGGGTCTACTTGCTCTGTCCAACCAAGTAGGAAGATCAAACTACCCAGTTGCAGGTAGTCTACTCCAGTTGGTGGGTTTGAATCAAATTGTTAAAGCGCCACGGTCTGGTGACTTTGACGGATTTGCAAACACCCAACTGACATCGTCGCTGTGGGTCAGGTAAAAGGGAGATTAACAAAAGAACAGCATTGAGGACTATGAAAAATTGTGGCACCCTTCATAGACAGAGCCAATTCCCTGCAGGCAGGAGTCTGCAAAAGTCAGGCGGAGGAAATATACTGAGAGAGGGGGATGAGTGGGGTCACTTTAAGAAGTATAAGAGGAAAAATAAAAAAAAGTCATGTTTAGTAAACTACACTGAATAAATACCACCACTCTGCAACTGTCTGAAATGGTTTTGAGTTCTGTTCATTTGTGGGTTTACTTCAAGTAGATCATGCCAAACTAAGCTTATTGGATTTTTTTTTGATTGGGAAACAAATAATAGATCAGGGTGGTGCAGTAGACATTGCTTACCTAGATTTCAGTAAGGCTTTTGACACTGTTGCACATAGAAGGCTTATCAATAAGCTGCAATCTTTAAGTTTGGATTCCAATATTGCTGAATGGGTAAGGCAGTGGCTGAGTGACAGGCAACAGAGAGTTGTAGTCAATGGAGTATATTCGAAGCATGAGCTTGTCACCAGTGGGGTACCTCAGTGATCTGTACTTGGACCCATTCTCTTGAATATTTTTTTTATTAATGACATTGCAGAAGGTCTTGATGGTATGTCTTTTTGCTAAGATATGTTAACAGGTTTGATGATTCAGGAGGGATAAAGCGGCAAATGATTTAGGTAAACTAGAAAAATGGTCAGAGTTGTGACAACTGACAATTAATGTGGATAAGTGCAAGATAATGCATCTTGGATGTAAAAACCCAAGGGCAGAGTACAGAATATTGGATAGAGTCCTAACCTCAACATCTGAGGATTTAAAGGTAGGCAGACAATGTAATAGAACAGCAGGAAATGCTAACAGAATGCTTCGTTGTATAGCGAGAGGTATTAGTAGTAGAAAGAGGGAAGTGCTCATGCCATTGTACAGAACACTGGTGAGACCTCACTTGGGGTATTGTACGCAGTACTGGAGACCGTATCTCCAGAAGGATATTGATACTTTAGAAGGAGTTCAGAGAAGGGCTACTAAACTGGTTCGTGGATTACAGGATAAAACTTACAAGGAAAGGTAAAAGGCGCTTAACATGTATAGCTTGGAGGAAAGACAAGACAGGGGAGATATGATAGAAACATTTAAATACATAAAGGGAATCAATACAGTAAAGGAGGAGACTATATTTAAAATATCAGGAAGTATTACTTTACTAAGAGGGTAGTGGATGCATGGAATAGCCATCTAGCTGAAGTGGTAGAGGCTAACACAGTAAAGTTTAAGCATGCGTGGGATAGGCATAAGGCTATCCTAACTAACATAAAGCCAGGGACTATACGTACATTCTATGTTTCTATGTTATATTTTCATAATATTGTAGCAATGGCATTTAACAAGCAACTGTTACACACCTACAGGAGTTCTGACCCAGTTTTTTTTTTTATTTTTTTAATTCTAGGCATTCTGGAGTTGTGCATTTCACATAAGCACCATTTGTAGATCACCAGTATGCAAGGTATGGGTTTAAATTATCTCTCTCAGTTTTCACATATTCTATTAAAAGCATCTCATTTTCTCTTGACATGGAATACCTCAAGATGGAGCCAAGATGCATATAGGGTTTGCATTTGTTTTAGCAGTAGAATGCATAGTTTCATATTTTGCCCGTATTGATGAAAAGATTAAAACATAACTAAACCCAAGGTACACAAACACAAAACCACACCAAGATATACATTAAATTAAAACATTTATTTTTCCTCCCATCCAAGAAAATGCCAAATTCCCCCCACCCCCCAAAAAAATTATCAACTCAAAAGCAAAATAAAATAATTGAGCAATATACATAGACAAATGTACGACAGTATTGGAGCAGAAAAATTAAGTGGAAAAACATTTCTTTTGCCTGTAGTAACGAAAGTAAAATAAAAATACAAGCAAAAAAAACAAAACATTTGTTTATCCCCATTGCACCTCGAAACTAGAAGGGGAAAAAAAACAAAAAAAAAAAACTAAATGCATTTATACATATTTTTAAATCAGTTTACCCCCATAAATTTTAAGCTATTTGGGAAAACATTTTCCCCTGCTGAATTTATGAAAACCATAAAATATGAGGCAAACTGGAGATCCCAAAAAGAATCAAGATAAACTTCCCGCAAACACCACTGTTCAACAGACATGCCAGAAAAAGGATGGCAAACATGTTATTTAGCTTTGCTTCTTATCCGAGAGGGTAGAAGGAAAAATGATAAAGTGCAGTGAGAATGGGGCAATTTAAAGAATGTTGCCTGACCAGTTCACATAAATACCACATTGCAGTATAAAATACTTTATAAAAATTATAACACATTTTCATTTTTAGAAACCTTTTGATACGTTTTATACTTAAAAGTTGTCAGTTTTCTGGAAATCATCATTAATTCTTGCTTGGGGACTGCACACTACTATACATTTCCAAGTTGCTATCAATACCAGATTTAAATGAGTTTGCTTCCTGTGGATAAAAATACTCTCATCCAACAGATATTGCTGTAAAATTAATCTAAAAAGCAGGTGTACAAAACACAAACAACTTGTGCCATATTCTGCAAACAGTTTTGTCAGTCTTTAAAATAAGCACCTTTCCCCACTCTTGTTGCATAATTGTTCAGCATCCATGTTTTAACAGTGCACTGTGATTTGGTGACCTTCAATAAAATAAAATAAAATATATATATAAAAATAAATTGTCCACTCATGACTCAAATTTAAGAGCAGCTCATCTAATAGGATAGGATGTCACGATTAAGTGAATTAGGCAATTTAATGGATGAGCAAGGCAGCACTGGTATCAGTGGGAGCTAGAGGCTAATTTCTCTAGGCAGTCAGGACAAAGATTAGAGCATCGAAACTCACCACCATGCAAGCATATCCATATTTTGCTTCCTCCAATGCAAGATCTTGGTTAAATTTAAAACACTGACAGATCCAACAGATAATTGACAAAAGCAAACATAAAAATACATGCATGGTACCAAACTTGGGAGAAAAAGGTACATTGCTGTAAGTTTTCTCCAGGTAGTTACTAGAATTCAAACCTAAAGTTTTAGAAATTCAATTATACCATTATAAACATTTTCAAATAAACACATTTTTCATGGTGCTGGTTTCTTCAAATTTTAGAGTGTACATTTTGGTAAACCAAAAACAGAATTTGCATTGATTATCCAAATAGGTATACACATTAGGTTGGGGTTAGCCCCAGAGGAGCTCTTAGGCTGGGAGACCATAGTGAGAGTTGTACATCCAAAATAACTGAAGAGTAACTAGCTTGCCGTACCTTAGTGGTGCAGATATGGCTTGTCATATACACAGTGTTTTGGACAAGCCTCAAGAATATATAAAGATTATTTCACCCTTCATTTTTTTCTGACAACTGCAGCCTGTGGTTATGTAAACCACTTCTAAAGGGCAGGAGACAAATTGATTTTCTCGATATGACTAGGTATATTGCCAACTGAGTCCAAAGCGTATCAACTACAAAACATTGAGATAAGGCAATCCCATCAACGTCACTAGTCTTAAACGGGAGGGGGTTATAGAAACCTAAACAACTGCCCACATGTTCTCTAGCAATAGTCTGCCTACATTTAGGCTCTGCATAAGTAATGTGACCAATTAAACAAAACCACAACTTTTTTTTCTGAAGACCTTAATGTATTGCAGATTAGTACAATTGCTCAGTATTCAATATATAAAACAGTGAACTTTCCAAGGTGGTAATTTGACATATTACAGTCCTCGCAATAGGATTCTGAGGATAATAAACATTTCTTTCTAAGGCCAATGTCCGTTCCATAGAATTTTTTTTTTTTTTAATTTATTTTTTTTTACACACTGGAAGAGTTGTTTCACTAAACTAAAATGCATTTGATAAAACTGCTAAACAGTGACTACGCATTTTTTAATGGAAAAACACAAAAACTGTAAAGGTTTGCATAGCTTTTATAAAAACGTAAGTTATAGTATTCTTGGCTACATATTTTTGAAGAAAAATGGATCTGCTGTTTTATACATTAGGAAGTCAATATCTAAATTCCAGTGCTAGAGTGTAAGAACAAGGGAATTTACAGTTCAAATATAGGCATTTGTTATTTGGTGTATTTGATGGAGAGTAGCAGGAATCTTAATGATATTCAAAAATAAATTAGCACATCCCACCACTCCAAATTGGGTCAATTTTGTCAAAACAGCTGCTACAGACCACTTTTTTCTTTTATTTTAAACAACTGAAAGAAGAGTAAAGTTTTGGCTATGCAAATTCACCTGTCTTGACTTTTTAATGACGCATCCCCACTGATCAAGATCAACTCCCTGAATTGAAATTTCCTAGCTGGGACGTTGTTCCAGACAATTAAAACTGCAGAAGAGAGCAGACACTTTGGTGATAAATGTCAAGTACCAAATAATATTTACATTTGTTGTATTTTCTTACCTTACTGACAATTTGTTTCCTCCAGTTAGTACAAATATTAACATTAAATCCCATGTATTAAGTGGACATTGTAAACGTCACTTTTTTATATACACATTTGGTGTGCACTGGTCTGTTATTTTCTAAGTTTTATACACATGCCTCATCAGTAGTAAGGCATACAGGATTAGTAATTTTTTCTTGATTCTATTGTGCATACACGACATGGAAGAGAATACCAAGTTGTTTTTTTTAATAACGTTCTATTTTTTTCAAATAGGTGGATGAGAACTTTAGGGATTTAACTTTTTTATAAAAAATATTTGATAGTCAGATCCCAATAGATGTGTGAGTAAAAAAAACATTAATATAAAATTATATATAAATTTTAAAAAAAAAACTCATTTAATAGGGATATGACTTTAATACTTTATTATCCCATCCAGTGTGTGAAATTCAATATGATCGTAGTTTTAGAACCTTTTTTTTTTTTTTAGAGGAACAACATTGCGGGATACCTCAATCCTAATTTTATACCTACGATACTAAAGCCCTTTTAGTAAATCTACTAGACACTGATGCAGTGGTCAGTTCTTCCTTTAGATTAGCTGAGAAATAATGCACCAATCTAGTATTTCCTATTAAAGTTAAGAAAAATCTGTTTAAAAAAAAAATACTCATTGAAAAGTATCTGTTTGGGATTAGCAGGGTTATTTACCAACGTGAAAATAGTCAGGTAATACAAGAATTCAAAGTGAATTTCAAGTTACAGACTGCACTGGTAGCAGAGCTGACATTGAGAATGATTCCAGTTAAACTATTTTGGGCCTTAATTTAAAACTTACTTTTAATTCTCACAAATATTCACTTTAGTGGATAACCCTTTAAGTCTTTGTTTAAAACAATGTGACAGACTTCAGAGACTGTATCCTTCACTAAATAAAGTCAGTGATTAAAATTCAATACACACAGAATGAAAAAGTAATGTCATGTTAAACAGGTCTCCAACACAGAGTTTTAAATGAAACTAGTTCTAGGGCAGAGTTACCTGGCGGTCTGAAAGAGTACTACAGATTCTAAAGAGAAATTTACTATATTCTCACAAATGCCCTGTGCTGAAAAGCATGATGAACAAGACTGCAGAATGGAGAACATGGAAGAATTGAGGGAAAGATTTTGGGTTGTGTTACAGAACACAACAATTAACTGCTGTATTACAATATGCGTTTATGTGAAATAAGCACCGTACTGGCCCACTGGCAGTTCTACATATTAAAGTAAATATGTATTTCTTCTGCAACACTTCTTAGAAATTTAAGTAGTTGAAAAAAAAAAAAAAAAAAAATCTTAGAACCATGTCGCAGAAAGTAGAGGCATAAAAGTCTAAATGCATATTGTCTCTTTAAAATAAAGAAGCAGACAAGTCAGGATACAAAAGATGGAGATAACCTTTAGGGGCTTAAAGGCACTGCTTCACACTGTAAACATCAAAAGATGGTAAAGTATAATTTTTTTCCAGTTTTTATGCATTGGCTGAATCATTTTAAACATTGGCACAACAAACATTTTGTAACTAGGTTTGCTGGGTATTAGGAGTGGTTCAAACATCTGAGATGCCTAAGTTAGTGATTATGGCCTTATAACATCACCTTATAATAGAAGTTCTCCTCTCAAATAAGGTACTGCATAATGTTAAAAAAAGGCAAGAAAATAATTAAAAAATATATTCCCTTGATCACCAGATCCAAGTTAAACTACACACTGTCAACACTATTTTTGTTAAAAGACTTTAAGTAAAAATATTTTCCTAAAGTACCCTTAGACTAAAAATACAGATCTTTCGTGGTGAATAACCAAAACCATACAGGAATTTATATAGAGGATGATTTATATATCTCAACAAATCATTTGGTTCCAACTATTATGGGCTACATGCTCCCAAACATTTAAGCCATTTGTTTAAAACCAAAGTCCTGATAAATCATCATAATGGTTTCATCTGGGGAGAGAGGAGGTTTAGTAATATTCTGTAGAAACAGAATACAGTGGCACTGGATTTAAAAATCAACCTATTTATTCAACATTTTGGAGCTACATACTAGCTCTTTGCAACTCCACATGAATAACCAAGTTATCGTTACATCCAGCATATAACAGCACTGTGTTTCTACATCTGATTTTCACACCTTTGCACGGAAGTTTGTAGCAGAAAATAGTGATCAGGTGCCCCTATTCATTTCATTGTTTCCACTATGCAAGAATGACTGCCTTGGTCAAGGCTTCATGAAACATAGGTCATAATGTTATCACAACAATCCACTCAAACGCTGACTCAAAAACCCAAATCGGGGCTAATCAGTGAACAGAAACAGTTTGGAATGGTCTGGCATCCTCCGTTATTTTGGTCTAAATATTTCAATTCTCTTAACTACTAAACCAGCATTGTGTAGAATTTTTTTTTTTTTTTTTTTTAAACCCTGAAAAGGAAAATTGCACCAAAAGGGGAGAGAAATATATATATAAAAAAATAAAAATAAAAAAAAACCACAAACAAAAGCAAAAAAACAACTAAATACAGATTACAAGGCTAGTGATATAATGAGATTATCCAGGTGTGAATAAAACTTTAGGACGCAGACATTACCTCCAGCCTGTAGCACTTCGGCTATGAAGGGACTACAGCGTGAGCTTGTTCATGAAGAATATTTTAGTATACTAAA